TGTACCAAAGTAAGTGCTGTTTAGTACTTTTCTAAACGTGGGTACCGCACATTTCCCAGAACCACCTCCTTATATTTCAAGTTTGTTAGCTCTATCCGTTCATATGCTGCAAAATTGTAACAAATATAGTACATTGTAGTACTTATCGAAGACTTTTAATTCAATTTCCAAATACCCTTTGGTACATCTATCCTACCTCCATCACTGACCCTAATTCCAAATTTAAGACTTCCAGCTCTACCGGTTCGCCAAATACAAATGGTTCCATATTTAGTACATTTTATGCTTTCCAAAAACTCAGCCTTATCTGACACGCTCGGACTAAGAGTGCCCTTACCGTCAATTTCAAACTGGTTATATCCCATCAGTGAGTCAAGATAAATGAAGGCTCGAACCTTTTTTTCATGGGTAGAACCAAAGAAAGGACTCATTTAACGCAGCCTACCGGAGCCGCAATGGTGAAGATAAATTCTATCGCCTTTGGGCCAATGAGAAATCAATGTGCTGATCATAGTATGGTTTTTGAATCTACTAATACTTCCCTCCCACCACTCATGAAAACGCGTGCCAAATCGCACCAAATTGGTTACTACTTTTCACTCGTAAACTCACTTCATTATCAGAATACGAACAAGAAATGTTTAGGCAAAAATTTCCAAATGTTTAATATTACAAACAACGTTGGTCAACTTTTTAATTACACAGTCAATTAAATATTTATGTTTCTGTTTTATTAATTTAATTTATAACTCTCGCAACCATATCTTCACACTATTTTCATCTCTAACTATAGCTCAAGTGCACTTTTCAACACAACAAAAACACTATAATATAATTTAATATTTTTTTACTAATTTCACTTTTCTAAAACTAAAGATCTCCAAAAATTGAATACCTAAACCAAAACTGATGTACCTATTTGCTATTCAAGACAAGAAAATAACTATTAAAAAATATAAAACACAACATATTTATTAATATACATATACTATATTGAAATTTATTAAAAAATTATAGATATTTTTTAGTAGCTGATAAAAATTAAAAAACAATTATTAGTTAATTATAATGAAAGAAAACTAAAACATATAGCGAAGAACAAGAACAAGCACCAACATTTATATTACTTTATTAGTTTTAGTAATTTAGTAATTCAAAAAAAAAAACTGTAATTAAACCAATTATAATTCTAGGGAATTGTATCCAACTAACTAATGGCAATAACTGCTATACTAACAATTGCATATGTAGTGAAATCAAAAATTTAGTTTTTAAGAAAAATTAAGAAATGTTTTACAATATCGATCGATAGCCAATTTTAGGTAAATTTTGTTATATTTTCTTTACGTTCGAAATTGTGAAACATATCTTGACTGAGAAATTTCTTTGCAAATAATTAACAAAAAATAGCCAGAGTTTTGACAAAACCTTTTCTATACAGGTTCTTCATAGGAGCCAATGACCAGTAATAACTCTAATTTCAGCTTTTCTCAGGTTCAACTGTTAGTTTGTTCTTTTTGTTGACAGAGTCGGCCAGATACACATTGCACATAGGTCAAAAAACACCTTCAAATTCCGGAAGTGGTGAATGATGGGTGGTTTGATCGATTGCTAGATCTGTGGATTGAGGTACTTTCCTTGTTAGTTCGTCTGCTTTTCATTACCTATGATGTCACAGTGTCCTGGTACCCAGCACAGCCAATAGCTGTTAGTAAGTGGTTCCAAAACTGCTCTACACTCCAGAACGACCTCAGACTTGATGTTACATGATGGCTTTAAGAGCCGCCTGAATATCCACAAAGATAGTGACCGATTCAACGATCTCTGCATCCAAATAAATTCAGCTGCCTTCCAAATCGCGATGATTACAGCTTGGAAAACACTAGGTAAGCTCAATGTCTAGCCTATCACAGTAGACGCCAGCCTCCTGTACCTTCTTCCATCTTGGATCCCCATGTATAAAAAGCCATACCGTCCAGGGGAGGGTTGCTACGGTTCCAATCTTCTCTACGACATCTAGATCGTAAAATCTCAAAGCTGGTGATTTGGTTCGGTTAGTTCTTCACGTTTGTCCAATGTGATACCTTGTTCGTTCCGGATATATCCATGACCATAGGCACAATTTCGCCAAAGATTCTGTTCATGCAGCCGTAGGGCACTACGTGCTGCCTGACAATGCTGAAACCCAGAGGCCTTAAGTTCAGAATTGCGTTCAGAGCGGCTTGGGAAGTGCTCCACGCGGCTCCAGTTATAAGAATCGAGGCTTCTCTATGTCCCTTGTATAGTTAGCTGTATGTCGAATTATGACGCAGGCTGTGCCACCAAACAATAGATTTACAGGATAGGAATGGGATAGAATTCCTGCATGCATAGAGTTCAATCGACCGTATCTTCGCCCTCTCCTCAGTATTCCTGTTCAATCGTAGTCGACAGTCCAGGATCGTGCCAAGGTACTTTGCTTCTGTCGAGAAATGAAGCTGCACTCCATCCAGTTTTGATGAAACAAAGACGGCGAACTTACGTTTCCTAGTGAATGGTTTGTGGACTGAAGTTCTACATTGTTGTACAATGTAAATAACTTTTACCGGCACACACGAGAATCAAACACTTCGTATAGATCTTCTCTAGTGTCAGATATATACTTGGCGATTTTGGAGAAAAAGGATAGTATTTCTATCTCGAAACTCCCAAGAAGTTTATGCCTTATGCTTCGAAGCAAGGGGCATTGATAAAATAGATGTTCGATAGTTTCTGTTTCTGTTTAGACGGCAATAATCGACCTCAATAATTTCCCATTTCGAAGAAAGAGGTCTGATTCTGCAGTGACCTTATGATCCCTATGGTTGTCTTTATCTCTTTTCTGCTCATAGAAATTAATGATTTAGATCTACGTTTAGAAATTATCGGCCAGTTAGATTTTGTGCTCCTATTCCTAAATTCCCCATTCCATTTTGTTGTTACGTTTTCCTCATAAAATTTGCGGATTTTGCCAAAACAAGTAGCTGAATGATGGAGTATAGGGAAATATAGTCACTTCAATGTCTATTGTGAGAGAGTTCATAATATGCTGTCAAGTTTAGGATATTTGCGAGCTGGTAGTGTGGTTGCCAGATAAATCAAGTGGCTCAAGATTTATTATCGCATTCAGAGCAGCCTGAGGTGTGGTTCTAGGATCTCCAAATATAAGGATTGGAAAACAAGTGTACGATGAGCGCTGATAGTCCCTATTCAGTTCTTGGAAGAGTATAGTGCTATTAGACCTTTCTTTGTACGCTCCTCTACGTTTCTTTTTTACGATAAACGGTGGTCCAGGATGGTGCCGAGGTATTGGACGCCCAAAGAGAGTTCCAGAGCTACTTAATCCATTGTAGGTGGAGTTAACGTTGGAATTTTGTGCTCCAATGCCTTTGATATAGGAGTTCTGGGATTTGCTATTTGATTTAAGTCCAGTGATTTTCTGATCACAAGCTCTAGTTACCTTTCCTAGTTTTCAAGGGAACGGAAGAAAGACTAATCGCCCTGTAGTCTTTCGGTAAAGTGTGACTAGGTCCCTCTGCTTTGGGAATGAAGGTCACCGTTACATCTCTTCATCGACTTCCTCCTACAGGAAAACAATGGAGTCGCCCGATACAACCTTCATTATGGTTTAGGATTCCCTCTTTATGAGGAGTATCAGATATCGGCTGTAATGCTTTAAGAAATTTCAGAATTTATGATATAATATTCAAAATAATTAATTTCATTTACTTTGTCAAAACTCGCAAAGAATACGAAAATTAGCTGGCTTATAAGCAAAATCAATAAAATCATATTAGAAATAAAATAATGAGCTTTATTGCAATTAGCTTTTAGAATAGAAAAACAAACAAAAAAATGATTAGTAAATTAATGTGTTTTAGCTGAAATAATTAGTTTTGGTGTGTATGTCTATTAGTTATAAGATTAGTGAAATTTCAAAATGAAATAAAATACATGAACATCAATAAAAGAAAAAATAAACAAAACAAAATAGAAAAACTAAATGAAAAATTTAACTATTGTGAATGTGAATACAAAATGTGGGTAAGTATATAACGAATAAGGTAAGGAGGGTTATATCGTTTCGGTGCTACAACGGATGTCCCAATCAGTGAATCGGAAGCAAGGAAGTTGTTTGCTAGAAGCGATATCAAGTAAAGGGCATAATACTTTTCTGGACTATTGGATATCATCTTTATAACAGATATGTCATTGGAAATGATTTCTTCTATAAATGAGTGCTAAGATTTTTTAAAGGAAACAGTCTCATTATTTTGCAATTCATATTCAAAAAATATAGAATTTATTTCGTTAGTTTTCTTTTTTAATATATTTGTATGTATATATGCATGTGTTTAGGTGTTATCCAAGCGCAAATTATATTTGCGTTTTTGGAATAATCACGCTCCTCACATTCAAAACTTTTAATACATTTTATCAAGTTAGTAAGTATAAATATATAATGCTGATCTACAACACATTTAATTGATTGAACTCAAATTAGGAAATTTGTTTTTTTATCAATCTTCCAATAAAATCTAATAGAGTCTATCAATTAAACGCATTAACAGCTGAGAGAGAAATAGTAATAAAATAAATTTTTTTTTCTTAATTATTCCAATTTGTTAAAAAAAAAATTGTAGAAATATATAAATTTAGAAAAAATGGATTTTAGTTATTTTTTGTATATCAGCTGCCATTTGTCTACATAAATTTTAGCCATACAAATGGCAAACGCATAAATGTAGTATGCTGTTGTACAGTATCACTTAAAAAATTCCACAGCAATGAGGTTATTGAAGCATTATCAAATTTATGATTCACAGCTGCCGCAGCACCATCATTCATCATCAATCCATTATAGTAATTATTATCAGAATTGCCATAGTTTTGAACCATCGATTGGAAATGATTATCGAATTTGTTGGCCATTTCATGTTCACTAAACTCCTCCTTGTAAGCAAACCAATAGCCCAACTGTTGACGATTAATATCATATTTGGCACATTTCTGATGGACATTTAATTTGGCCATATACTGCTGTTGCGGTAGTGTCAAACGGGATTCGGTAGCAATTTCATTATGTTTTTGCCTCATTTTATCACGCAGGTCCTCTTCACGGTATTGTCTTTCAAGTTTGAGCAATTCAGCTTCAACATTTAAGCCTAAGTGTATGGTATGATTGTGCTGTCGCATGCTATTAGTCATCGATGTCGCTGTTGGTGATGTCGCATTTGATGATACAGATGTAGAGCCGTTTGTGTGTATTAGATCGGTTGCATTCAATAGATCGCGATCAACAATAATATCATTGGATAAACGAGTTGTAGTCTTCGACGAACGATACAATGAAGTTCCTGGGATTTGTGCAGCCAAAAAGAATGCTCCAGCAATAGTCATAACACTAGCGGCATAACTGACAGCCATAACGGTTATATTGTTGAGCAGAAATTTGGCCAGCGTAAAGGAAGGTAACATTTGCATCAATTCTGTATAGGTAAGCCAACCACGTCGTAGACCTTCACGTCTAGCCAGTTGTTTTTCTATGCAGGTAAGTTTTTCGAAAAACTGTTCGTTCGATATGTATATGTTCCATTCCTTGAAAAGAAGAAAATTATTAAAATAAGTAATTAATAGATGTAATAAAAATATTAGAGAAAACGTTAATAACCAGTATATTATATTGAAGCTATAATGAACAGTTTAGTCGCCGAATGATTGGATATTAAAAAATTTGTCAATATAGGGCTACTTGACAATATATATTGAACAATTCTAAATTAAAATCAGCCTGTTTTCTGGGGATTACAGATTACTAACATAATTTCTTTAAAATATACAATTTGTAAACGAGTATAAAATATTAAGTTATCACTCAGTTGATTACGAGATCGCGTTTGGAATTTATAACCGAGGGATCACTTGATTGATTACGCAAAAATGGGCTATCACTAATTAACGCTGAAATATTAACAAGTCACGTGTACATTTCGGTCTGCATTCGGTGACCGGATTATATACAAGCAGAGCCTTGATGTTGCCTGCGTACCTCAAGAATGGCTTCAATACTATTCAGACACTAAAATTTACTTGTCTGTTTTGTAGAAAAGTGTGGAAGGAAGAATCCTCATATCGGTATATTCGAAATTCTGATAAGAATTAATATCTTATGTACAGGGGTACCATTTTCGAGATAATTTCAAAGAAAATAAGATCAACATAATGAATTCTAACATCCTTAAGTTGAGGTGGAAAGTTCTTATTAACAGTTCACGCAAGAGATGCCTCAAAAAACTATTGAAACCGAATAATATGGTATTCTTAAAAGCTTTCAAGCAATTAAATTTCCGAGGAAAGCGGTACAATACCACCGATATTTGGGGTGGTATTATAGAAATAATTAATGTATACTTCCAAAATTTTGCTTTTGATGAAGTGACACTTGAAACCAATTACATTTGAAATCGTTTATAATGACACCAATTATAATGGCGTACAGCATCAAATTTCGCGGGACCTTTGACCGTCGTTATAAGTGATTTCGACAATATCTCCGCTCGATCTTTGATCACCACATGTGAAGCTCACAGCCGACTTCATATCGTTTGCAACTTCATCGTCAGTTTTTATGAGCTCTAAGGGAAGTGAAACCTGGATCTAAAGCCACTGACTTCACCATATTCGCCATTCAAATTCATTTCTTGTGCCACCTCAAATACAGCTCAGGCAACGAGAAGAAATGGCTGTCGCTGAGCCATTTCATTTCATTGCAACGACAGTTCGCTGATATTAAGAATATGTTATTGTACGCAACAACTCCGCAATCTGATGCCTGCACCATTCAACCTTCCTTTACAAAGTTTATACATAAAAATAATTTTTACAATTCAAGAATATATAAATCTAACATAAAACTATTTAAAATATTCATAAATAATACTTACTATTGCGCATAAGAATTCCAATTCTAATTCCTTCAAACGTTCCTCTGACATATTACCATCTTCAGCCCAATCAGATAGATAGATTTCCTCATCATGTCCAGCATAAAACTTTGTTGAAATCATCTATACAGAAGTGCATATATATGTATATACAAAAACAAAAAATGAAAACAAAATTGTGTCATTAGAAATCAATGCAAGGCAAATAGACATAGCAACAGGTGATAAGAGCGTACATATAAAGTACATGCATACCGAGATAGTGAGGGTCTTATCTCACATATGACCTGTTGGGTGGTTAGGCGGTTGTGATTGCCAACCATCACACTTACCATCGAAACAATAAACAATTCTTGCGGTGTTATGCGTCGGACATAAGCAGGGTCTGTGGCATTCAAACGATCCAAATAGATAAGAGCCATAATTAAAGCAGCCGGTGTGGCTGGTATAACACTGGACGCCTCAACACAGGACAAACGATTCAATGTATGACCACGATGAGTATCCGAAAATAGTTCGGACGTTAGTTCAGCCAATGGTTTGGAAACACTCATAGTTTCACATTCAGTGAAATCTTGGCCAAAATATAAGGATTTGCGTATACGTTGCATAAATTCATCGTGTGGCATAACCTAAGGATAGAAAGGCAAAACAAATATTATGGCATATTATCACACAGTATATGGTATTATAACTATAAAAAGTTATAATAATAAGGAAATTATTAATTAGTGTCACACACATACCTTTTTTGTAGTGGTTTTTGGCTTTGTGGTCGCTGCTGCAGAGTTTTTAATGACGCATCCCTGTTTGCGCCCCATTGTTTTTATTTTTTCCAGTGTGTTTGTGGCGTGATATCTAAATCTAAATGGTAGTGGACGAAAATAAACTGTATTTTATACGCTCATTGAATACACAAGTAGCTGTATTATTGGCACATTGACAATTACATTACCTATTTACGGATTTATTTACACAATAGTTATATTTTTAACAAAAATTTACTCTGAGCTGCGACACAAGAACAGCAGCAACACGCGAAAGTTTTATTCTGACACAATATGAAATGGTTACCAAGTACTGAATACTTGGAACTTTCATTGAGTGTGAAAATACAACGCTGCTTTAAAAAAGGTGGCGGTTAATTGCCGCTACAAAGCTTGAGTAATATAACGTTTAGACGTTGAATTGTTGCAAGTTTTTTTTTTATTTACAACTGGTCTGTTACGGATGTTTTGCCGATAGCTGTTGCGTACCGCCTACTGCGGCTCCTGGTGGGGTTCCAACCAGCTCAGTCGGGGCACCGCTTTAGGGGTGAATTCCCAACCCTACCACCATCAGCCTTAGGGGTCGAACAATCAAGAAGGAAAACGGAAATAGAACAACAAACAACAATACAAAATGACAACACACATACGACCATAACGAGGGAATTTGGTGTCAATTATTCCCGCACTTCGCCCGCCCAACCTTGACCCTTTTTGTCCTAATAAACACTTAATTTTAAAGGGCCCCTGATTCCACACACACTCACCTTACTGCAACATCATCCTATCTTCCTCCCTCACAGAAAACAACTAGCAATTCATATTAATCTAAACATTTACACATAAACAATATTTATTAATTTCATTATTTCTTGATTACTTAAACCTAACATAAACACATAGTCAATATTCTGAATTCCTAACACCTAAAGCTATCGATAAGTCACTGTCTCAGACTACCCACGCAATCTATTGAAACGGCTCCTTCTGGCCACTCTATTATATTATTACCTCACCTAAAAGAGCTCTCTTAAGTCGTTATTGGGGAGATTACCATTTGGTCCCCAAAATAGGCAAATGCAAATTTCCAATAAGATATTTGGGGTAACCCTACACTTGTCGCATTTGTTAGGCGTTAAAAATTCTCACAATTTAAAATCTTAGATATTAATCACTAAATACTAACACATAACACACTTAATCTAACACTTAAAATTTAGTAAATATATTTTTGTTTGGGTTTTTTTTTAAATTTTTTGTCATTTGGTGATTCGCTTGTTTTTAATTTGGTCTTTGATTACTAATTCATTTTTCTTTCCACTTTCAGATTTCTTCCAGGCGCTCGGCTCTGGACATTTAAATTTCGACAAAATAAGGGTTACCTGGTTTCCAGATACTTATTTTCCCAGGATTTTTGGACGGACAGACACATCAATTTATTGGCCAACTGCGTCCAAGCTTACGCTGTCGTGCTGTATCTGTTTGGGCTTAAGTGTCTTCCAGCCAACTATTCTACGGCTAAAACCGTGAGCCACATAAATCTTTTTGCCGAATAAGCCCCAAAAAAATCGGATGACCTCCTCCGTGCAACGACTTGGAGGGGTCAATGCTTGCTTTATTGGTTGATGAAGATGTTGGCGTATCTATGCAAAACACAAACATTTAAACACATAAAATATTACCAAATTACACAAACATACTTTATTTTGCTCGCTCACAGGCATAAGGCACTCAACAATAAAAATCAGGTCTTAATAATTTTTTTGGGAATTTTTTGTTTAATTTGGGGATTTTGGTTTGTTTTTTGTTTTATAAAAATTGTAACCAAAAGTATTGTCTCTTGACAAAACACCAAATAAATTTGATCGAATTTTCCCCCCCGTTATGCCTTTTATACCCCCGCAGCCAGATGCCATTTTCCCACTTTTCTGGGATTCTCGCGCATTTTCCTACATTTATCATTTTTCCTTTATCTCACCTCTTGATCCCTACATCTCGACAGGGTTGTATTTGCCAGGCCTAAATTTCAGACCAGATGGCAACGCATGAATTTCTCAACCGCTGTACTGAGCTTACTGTATCCGGCTCACTTTTTTCTGGCCGGCAGCAGCAAACACATCATCTCGGATAATTGCTGCCGGTTGTGTTTTTTTTTATTTTATTTTTATACAAAAAATTATATTCACATGCAACATAGCATAAAGGAAAATAAGAATATCGTAGTAATAGTACGTTTACATTTAACCGGATTTCGTTAACCCAGTGGGTTTCAATTGTCAATTCCATTGTATACATGCCAATTAAATCCTCATAGAATAGGTTAACCCGGTAAAAAGTCCTAATGTAAATGCCGTTTAAGTAGTAGATTATTGCAATGCGGGGACAGATCAAAACTGAGAAAGAAATTTTGAAAAAGATTTCGATTAATTTAAATATTTTGCAGTTTCTGGAAAAGGACAAACGGAATATCCAAGGTATCATTACGAGAACCATTAAAAATGACACCAACTAAATCGATCTCCATTTACTTCGATTTATGATACAAATTTAAATGCACTCAATATCTCGATTTGCTCGAAATCCTATTCTATAACTCTATAAAATAATGACTTCTCCTAAAACTACGCTACAAAATACGTTACAATTGTTAAGAAGAAATTTATGATTTGTGGATGTAGGGCATGCCTTAATTACAAACGTAGTCTCATTTGAGAAATTAATAATGGCAACCCTTTTTAATTTGGAACTCAGCATGGTATAATAATAGAAGGTAACATCAAGTGTTGTTGTACAAAAAACGATACAACAACCACATGGAAATTTGTTGGTGTAAGTTCTACTAGTGTCAACTCATTTGACAGAAAAATGTAAACAAACAAATTATCATCAAATTATTTTTATTTTGAAAATGAAATATTTTCGAATCCTCAAAATAAAAATTGAAAAACATGAAAGAAAATCTATCAAATTTATATTTCTATCGCTTCCACATCTTTCCTATAATTGAGCCATTGCCATATATATGTGTAACACATATGAAAATGCTGGGAATAGCGAGTTATTCCTTGAAGAAAGATTTGCTTCCTCAAACTTTCCCAGCAGGCAGATTGAGTAAATTGAATACAGGAGCACATTTAATAAAGAACAATTTCAAATTGTATGCGTTCCCAATTTTCCTGTTGGGTGATTTTTAAATACATACTTTGTCAAATTCATATTGACACTAGTATTACGTTGGAATCAAATCAGCTTGGATTTGCTGTTACCTTTTATAATTGTACCATGGGAACTCAGCTATCAATTTCAAATTGAAAAATAAATTCCATAAAATTGTATGCATGCCGAATGGCATATTTGTTAAAAAATTGAAAATTTATACATTCTGTAAATAGACATCTACTTTTTTATTGATATTATTCTTTAGATATAACTATAGATGTTAGAAATTAAGTTTTTAGATTATAGAGGCTGCGAACTTCAACATTTTGTAATCATTGTCACTGAACGCGTGTTATGTGTACTTTTCGAAGGAAGATATTTTCATTTAAATTTTGAAAGCTGAATTTGTCAAAAGTAAAATTATGAAAAAATTGGAATTATACACCCGTATGAGACTACCATGGATTTAACCATGGGTAACAACCATCTTATATTTATAAGCTTTAGAGTCAGGGAAAAAATTTATAAATATTAATTATTTAGCAATTTTTGCCACTGAACACATGATATGCGTACATTTCGAAGGAAGATATTTTCATTTAAACTTTGAAAGCTGAATACTGTCAAAGGCAGAAATTGATAATGGCAACTCTTTTTAATTTGTAACTCATCTATCAATAGTTCTGTCTGTTTACTCGATATTTGGTAACAGTTGTAAGTCTGCTTTTCCACATGCAGATTTTTATTTGGCAAATACTTATAAATATACCCTGAAAAATATTTAAAACATATCCACGCCTATAAATATGCCCTGAAAAATATTTAAAAAATTCACGTCTATAAATATGCCCTGAAAAATATTTAAAAAAATCCACCCTGAAAAATATTTAAAAAAATCCACGCCTATAAATATACCCTAAAATATATTTAAAAAAATTCACGCCTATAAATATACCCTAAAAATGTATTTAAAAAATCCACGCCCATAAATATACCCTGAGAAATATTTAAAAAATCCACGCCCATAAATATACCCTAAAAATTTATTTAAAAAAATCCACGCCAATAAATATACCCTGAAAAATATTTAAAAAAATCCACGCCTATAAATATACCCTGAAAAATATTTTAAAAAAATCCACGCTTTTAAATATACCCTGAAAAATATTTAAACAAAATCCACGCCTATAAATATACCCTGCAAAATATTTTAAAAAAATCCACGCCTATAAATATACCCTGAAAAATATTAAAAAAAATCCACACCTTTAAATATACCCTGAAAAATATTTTTAAAAATCCACGCCCATAAATATACCCTGAAAAATCCACGCCCATAAATATACCCTGTACCACAGTGTGGTGAAGGGTATTAAAAATCAACGCCTATAAATATACCTTTAAAAATATTTAAATATACCCTGTATCCCTGTACCCTGTACCACAGTGTGGTGAAGGGTATTAAAAATCAACGCCTATAAATATACCCTGAAAAATATTTAAAAAAATCCACCCTGAAAAATATTTAAAAAAAATCCACGCCTATAAATATACCCTGAAAAATATTTAAAAAAATCAACCCTGAAAAATATTTAAAAAAATTCACGCCTATAAATATACCCTAAAAATGTATTTAAAAAAATCCACGCCTATAAATATACCCTAAAAATGTATTTAAAAAATCCACGCCTATAAATATGCCCTAAAAATGTATTTAAAAAAATCCACGCCTATAAATATGCCCTAAAAATGTATTTAAAAAAATCCACGCCTATAAATATACCCTAAAAATGTATTTAAAAAATCCACGCCTATAAATATGCCCTAAAAATGTATTTAAAAAAATCCACGCCTATAAATATACCATGAAATGTATCCACGCCTATAAATATAACCTAAAATGTATTTAAAAACAAAATTTTGCCTGTTCAGAATTTGCCGTACACGCAAATTCTGCTTTGCTCTGTTCGTTGAAAACAATTTTGTTGACATTTCCTTTTGAACCTATTCGCTTTACTGACACACAGCCGGCTTTTGTTTACAAA